TCAGATCATCTTTCTCCTTGCGAAAAACTGGTATCAGATAGATGGCTATAGGATAAAAACCTAGACTTTCAGTACCCTGATGTTTCATATCATGATCTTCTATTGATTTTTCATATATGTATGTGAAATTTAATTCAAGTGCTATATGTTTTAGCTTTTAATGTACCCTGAATATTAACCTAGACGACAGCTGTAAATAACCTTGTGATGTAAAAATTTGTGTATTACCAAAGAGCTATGTTTCTGATTTCTTTCTTGAACATTACATGAAAAAAAATAGGACCACCTTCACCTGCTTTAAAAAGGTTTTAATTAAATTTCTAGATAAATATGTACTTAATAACATGTTCGTTATCAGAATTGGGAATTTGCTATGATGCTATCACTTTGATTTTAAAACAAATATATGGACGTATGGAGAGACCTATAGTTGTAGTTTAATATTATTATGGCAAATATGGTTTAGTAATCAAAAATAATTTCCATAGGGTCGTGAATCTGGCACCATTCAGAGATACAGTCTTCCTCATGTTGGTTTGATTCAAAAATATTCCCTTAATTGTCGAGCCTACCAGTTATCCTTGAATTGCAATTCTAGGTAAGCCTGAAAACTTTCTTCACGTAGATGTTAGACTTAGCAGTTATTTATTGGGATTGTTGGATTTGTGTAGTAAGAGTAAAGACAGGTGTGTTTGTTATAAACTTGTCTTAAAATTCAGTATGATTTTACTATAATGTGTTTGGTTTAAATGTCTTTCTCTAATTGGGCATATGGACATGCTTGTAGCTCTGACTCAGGCGGTACAAAGGCAATATATGTAACCTAAACGTTTGTACCCACGTAATGTTCTGATAAAAAAAAAAAGAAATTCTAGTGCAGTTTTTTTTTGGTACTATTAATAGTAAAAAAGCTTTAGAGCTTTTAAGGGTATTGAGACTATTTTATATTTCATACCAGTTGGTTTAATCTCTTTGGATACATTTTCCTCACAAGGGAGCAAAATGAAGAGTAGTCCATATTTTCTATCAAATTTATAAAAAAAATTTTTAAAAAGCCATTTCTATCATATCATATTCCAGGTTTCAGATAAACTGATTTTGAAGAACAGTAGTTATAGGTAATTATTCTTATGATCACTGACAGTAATTTTACAATTTTTTCCCCTTCTCCAATTGCATTACTTTTAGTCGTCTTGCTATCATAGACATCTCAGGAATTCTAACTTTCTTTGACTTGGATGCTCGAGTAACAGACAGCACAGGACAGCAAGTAATTGGCGAGTTGTTAAACTTGGAGCGAAAAGATGTCTGGGATATGAAGTGGGCCAAGGATAATCCTGATTTGTTTGCAATGATGGAGAAGACAAGAATGTATGTTTTCAGAAACTTGGATCCTGAGGTAAAAACAAGAAATGAGTGTTAACAGTCCATAAATAATGGGCCAAATATAAAAACCTGGATATTTCCCCTTTGTCTCTTTAAGAGGTTTGTTGAACACCAACCATACCAACATGGCTGCATGAATTTCTGAAAATAAATAGAAACATTTCTGTAGACTTTTGAGATATTTGGTCTTAACTGGGAATAATACTTATCTTTTAAATATTTGCTGCTTTCTCTGAAAAGTACTTCCTAGGCATTTATTTGTTCTTTTTAAAAGGTGGAACCATGGTCATTAGATAGTCTTTTTTTTTCTTTAATCGAAGTTAAAAAAAGAAAAAGAAAGAAAATAAGTAGTCTTATTTACTAAAATTTCTTGAAACAGCCTAACCAAAAAAGTATAATTTTGAAATTGCCTTGTCCTTTCCTTCTCTTCTGCCTGTCTATTCCCTTTATTCTGTGCTTTCCTTACTTATATTAATATTTACATTCACTGTATCATCCGCCAACCTGTGTTCTTTCTTAACCCAGATATTCTTATGAATATGTAAGTGCAGACTGTTGTACATCAGGAGGCCCCTTTTCCACTGATTTTTAAGGTTACATTTTGATTTTCTACTTGTGGCTCAC